CTACACACACCGCCCAGCACAGTAAACTGACAGGTCTGGGGTTGGAAGAGAACACCGACCCTGGGTGGGATGCACCACTCTCACCACCTGGCTGGTCCCCAGGGAGTCTAAGGTCTCCTCCTGCATAAACAGCACACCGTCACCAACTTCCCTACCGCTCCCATAAGCATCCCGTTCTGTGCCCTTTCCAGCAGCCTGGTTTCTACTGGAGGACAAACCTACAGAAACTCGAAGCCAATGTTATCCTCAGGCATGCGCCACTAGCTCAGCAAACAGTGCTCTCGGTGGGTCTACTGCTCATCATGGTCTGCACATACAGAAAAGAGAACACAGGCATCTAAGGGAAACAACTCGTTTACCTTCTATTTTCAGTCTTCTAGCCAGATCTCTAGAAGTAGTATACTTCTTCAAGGGGTCAGGTACAGCATTGGCTAGTAACTCCATGTCAACTTCTTCATACTTAAGAACATCTAGGGCACTGCCAATTGTAAAAAGTTTTATTAACACAAGGATCCATCCATATTCTATAAGGCAAACTGGGAACAAAATCCCTTGCAATAATACTAAATATCAGAGTAATTAAAAGAGACTCTTAATTTTTCCCCACGTACAGTCGCATTGGGCCAGTGGTAGTGCACACTTTTAATCCCAACACTCAGAAGGCAGAGGCAAAAGGATCTCTGAGTTTGAAGCCAGCCTGGTCTATATAACCAGCCAGGAATAAAGAGACTCTGTTTCAAAATAAAGTAAGATAAAATAAGTAAAAAGTGCAGCATCTGCAAAACAGACCATCAAGAAGAAAAAAAAAAAAGTAATTGATTCTCTCTGGGCCTGGTAATGCACGCCTATAATCCAAGTACTTGAGAGGCAGAGGCAGGAGCATTGGGTGTGCCAGGCCAGTCTTTGTTACACAGCAAGTTTGAAGACAGCCTGGGTTACATGAAACCCCAGCTTAAAACCCCCATCCAAAAGTATTGCTTTCCTGACTTCCTATCGTCAGACTTATACTGTTGTTAAGGTTTTTTAGGCTGTTGTCCTCTTTTTGGTTTACAAAGAATATCCTCTGCTAACAAGGGCTTCCTCATGTCCAGAGAACAGGAATATGCTTCACAACTACTAAGTCTTGTTTAGTGTACTTTGAGTGAGCCATCCTTCTGCACAAACAGCAGCCTGATTTCTACTGGAGGACAAACCTACAGAAATCTAGGGTTCAGATTTGGTTTGTGTCCCTCAAAGGCTCATGCTCTGGAAGTGCAGTCTCTATGTCACACTGTTGAGGAATACCCTTTAAGAGGAAGGACTGTGACCAGTAGTAACTAGGTCTCCGCTCTTCAGAAGAGGTCAACACTCTGTCGTGAAGTTAGGCTCACACTAGTGACTTCTTGTCAGAAGAGCAAGCCCGACACCGAGATTTCTGGCTTCCCATCTATCTCTCTATGTGGTCTTGGAAGAGCAGCACATGCTCTTAAATGAAGCGATCCAATTGGTCAGTCATAACACCCTCAGCAGAGTCAAAGGGAGGAAGCTGCCAGCCTTGAAGTCTCAGCTTCCAAACTGGCAGCCAGATAAACCCTTCTAAAAAATAAAATGTGTAGCCTCAGGTATTTATTATACCATAAAACTGATTAATAGAGCTAGTAAACAAATATATTGATTGCAGCAGTGATAATGTGGTGTCCCCAAATTTGTATGTTGGGGCCTAATAACTAAAGAGGTGAGGTCAGCCATAAGGATTAGTGCCCTTATAGGAGCCACCACAGACAGACAGTGTCACAGAGGGAGAGTATCAATGCCATCATGGTATGCACAGTGTACCTCTAAAGTACAGAGGATTATTGATGCTGGCTCCCTCTCCTATCTAAATCACATTTTTTTCAAACGGGTGGTGGGGTGGGGTGGGGTGGTGGTGGTGGGGGGACCCATGGTGAAATACACACATTTTATATTATTCAAGGTCCTCAGAACTTCTTTTTGTCCCAGCACTTTGAGGGTGGGACAGGATGATCAGGGGTACAAGCTCATCCTATTGATGATTGAGGATGATCAGGGGTACAAGCTCATCCTATTGATAATTGAGCAAGTTTAAGGGTGGCTTGGATTAAACAACACAGACACATAAGACTCTGCTTGTTCCTGGAGCAATAGTGCTCTCTATGAATGTCCTTTAGACATATAGGCCATATAACCAAACTGAGGGAAAGGAAATCTCAAACGAGGCATGGGCCTTCAAAAAATTTATAATAAAGACAAGTAAGAATTTAGAGTATATAATACTATGAAAAAAATTATAATATTATGCTTTTTTTTTTTTTTTCTTCTTGAGACAGGGTTTCTCTGTGTAGTTCTGGCTGTCTGGATCTCATTCTATAGATCAGGAAGGCCTTGAACTCAGAGATCCACCTGCCTCTGCCTCCCTAGTGCTGGGATTAAAGGTCACCATGCTTGGGTAATGTTTTTGTTTTTTTTTTTAATTGAAGGATTTTCCTTTATATAGTCCATGTATTAGATGGTGTCAATCTAATCGGTTTGAGCCTAGCAAAGAAAATGGGTCCTTCTATTTTTTTGGTTTGGAGCCTCTAAAACTGAGGAAAACCAAAAGATCTTAATGGGAACCACAAAGAAATTACACATATACAAAATATTAAGAATTGAAGAGATGGCTCAGGGGTTAAGAACACTGACTGCTATTCCAGAGGACCTGGGTTTGATTCCCAGCACTCACAGGGCAGCCCATAACCACCTGTAACTCTAGTTCCATGGGACCTTGACACTTTCTTCTAGTTCCCTGGGCATGAGACATGCATATGGTGCACATACATACATACATACATGTAGGCAAAACACCTAAACACATAAAAAATATTAACTTATAATCACACATAAATATATTTCATTAAGAAAAATTTTCACTAGGTATGGTGGTACCTGCTTTTATCCCCAGCACTTGGGAGGTAGAGACTCTGGAGACTGAATCCAAGGCCTCACTCATGCTAAGCACGCATTCTACTACCATCAAGCTACATGCCCAGCCATATACGCTTTACTTTTCTTTTAAATTTTTATTTTTCAAGATAGGGTCTTACAAAGCCCAGTTCAGATTGATCTGAAGCTCCTGATCCCTGCCTCCCACCTCCTAACTGCCGCGATTAATGTCATACATGGCTCACATATTTATATATATTGAATAGGTAGATGAATTATACTAAAGGCTGCTGAAAAGCTAAGAGAAAGCTGTATTCATCTAAAATGTGTAGGTAGGGGGCTTGTATATGATGTCTCTCTGAAATCTCATTTTTCTGTAAAAACTAAGAAAAGTCCATACTGACAATCATACCTGACAGGAAGGCTTCTATGAATACTTATAGGAGCTTGTGGAATTAACTTTTTCCACTTGGAGCTTGAAAACTCAATGGATTTCAACACAGACATGCCTTCTTCTAAGGAAGACTTCATCCATGACGCTCTTTCATATCGCTGTGGGGACACACAGCCGGCGTCCTTATGAGCTAAGAAAGGAAGAGGGAGAAGTTTGAAAGGACAGTAGAGGGCAGGGTGTGTGTGGCAGCACAGCCCTGTAACCCAGCACTTAGAGGCAGGACTACAGTCATTCAAGGCTGGCCAGGCTATCCATGGAGACCTTGTCTCAACAGCCCTTCACCCAGCTTCCTCTTCCCAAGGCAGGCTGTAGTAGCCACCCACTACTTGAGAGGTGGAGTCAAGAAGAGGAATCCAAAGTCACCTTAACTACACTATAAGAGATCCTGCAACTACATAAACCAATAACCCAAAAAGTAGTGCAATACCTCAGAGGATTTTGTTAAAAATTACCTCGGGAGCCAGGTGGTGGTGGCGCATGCCTTTAATCCCAGCACTCGGGAGGCAGAGCCAGGTGGATCTCTGTGAGTTCGAGGCCAGCCTGGTCTACAGAATGGGATCCAGGACAGGCACCAAAACTACACAGAGAAAACCCTGTCTTGGGGGAAAAAAAATTACCTCGGAATGTGAGGCGGATGTCAGCATTATCCGGGCGCAGTGACAAGCGGAACTCTACCCTGCTAGTGAACATGCGGTATGGTTCGCTGGTGCCCAGTGTAGTGAGGTCATCAATCAAGACTCCTATGTAGCCTTCTGTGCGACTTACAACAAAGGGTGGTTTTTGACTGACCCGAAGACTGGCGTTGATTCCAGCTATCACACCCTACAAGAGGACTGGAATGTTTAAGAGGCCATTATGAACTGAACAAATAGCTATTCTATTTAGCATACTACCTGGGGAAAAAAAAAACACAGGGTAGTGTGGTGGCGCACTCCTTTAGTCTCAGCACTCGGGAGGCAGAGGCAGACAGATTTCTGTGAGTTTGAGGCCAGCCTGGTCTACATACAGAATGAGTTTCAGGACAGCCAGGGCTACACAGAGAAACCCTGTCTCAAAGAACCAAAACACACACAGAGGGTAGGAAGAAAGCAGGCTCATAAGAATATAAATGTGTGATGGTTTGAATAAGAGCCCCCAGAGTTATCAGGGAATGGCACTATTTGAGAAGGATTAGAAGATGTGGCCTTGTTGGAGTAGATATGGGGTAGGCTTTGAGGTTTGAAAAGCCCAAGCCAGGCCCATTATCTCTCTTTTCCTACTGTCTGTAGATCCTGATATAGACCTCTCGGCTACTTCTCCAGCACTATGTCTGCCTGCTTGCTACCATGCCCCCCCCCCCACAAGGCCCAGCAAAGATGAGAATGGACTAAGCCTTTGAAAACTGTAAAGCAGCCCAGATTAAATGCCTTCTTTTATAAGAGTTGCTGTGTTATGGTGTCTCTTCACAGCAATAGAACAGTGACCAAGACAGTGGTAAAGAATATTATGGGAAAGATTTCATAAAATGCCTCCCTCTAAGACCTAAGGACTTCAATTTGATCCCTAAGTCTCATGAAAAAGTGGAGCACAGTGGTACAGCCCTGTAATCTCAGCACTGAGAAGGCAGAGACAGATGGGTCACTGCAACTCACCGCTTAGTCAGTTTAGCCTAACATGAGTGCGGTGAGAGCTTCTGTCTCACATTGTAAGGTGGAGGGGCTGGACACGCGGCTCAAGAGGGTAAGAGTCTGGACTGCTCTTGCGGAGGACCCAAGCTGGGTTTGCTGTACCCATGCTGGGCAGCTCATAATCACCGATAACTTCAGCTCTAGAGAACTCGTCTCCTGGCATCCTCTGGTACCTGCATTCATCATGTGCACATACTCCTTCCCATACATTCAAAAAAAAAAAAAAAGAGCTAGGGAAATGGCTCAGCAGTTAAGGCTGTTCTTCCAGAGGCCCCGGATTTGATCCCCCAGTACCTACAGAATGGCTCACAACCATTTGTATCTCTAGTTTCAGATCTAATGCCCTCTTCTGGCCTCCACAGGCATCAGGTACATAGGTGGTACATAGACATACATACATGCAGACACAACACTCATACATATAAAATGAAATTAAAAATAAAATCAGGTGAAGAACAATTGAGAAAGATATCTAATGCTGATCTTTGGCCTCAATATGCATAATGTGCATACACATAACACAGAAAGCCAAAATAGTAATAACAACATGATAATTTTCAGAAATCTTAAAAGAATTAAAATGCTTGTTTTTACACTTCAGAAGCAATTCCATAATTTTTTTTCTCAATATCCTAGCAGATCTAGGGACTTAGAAACTAGCTGTAAGTGCTTTCAAAATCATCCCGCACAAGCTGGACAACATGGCACATGTCTGTAATCTTAACACTATGGAGGCAAAGCAGACTTGTAATCTCAGCACCTGGAAGGTGAGGGTAGAATTGGATTTTCAAGGCTAGCCTTAGCTATATAGCAGGTTTGAGGCCAATCTGGGCTACATGAATCTATTTGATAAAAACAAAAGATCAGCCTGAGCAAGACCCTATTTTAAAACAGAATAAGTGTACTATATAAACAGCTATATCCACTTAGCCTGAACTAGTGTTGATCCAAGATCTGCATAATCAACAAGACACTAAAAAAAGAACACTAATGAAATGGTCTCTTTTAGTTTATAGTAACATCTGAATAAATTCTTTTCTGGAGCTGGGCATGGTGGCGCACGCCTTTAATCCCAGCACTTGGGAAGCAGAGGCAGGTGGATCTCTGTCAGTTTGAAGCCAGCTGACTCTACTTGGTGAGTTCAAGGACAGCTAACACTACCTAGAGACACTGTCTTAAGCAAAACAAAACCAATCTCACCTGAGCTGCAGCTTCCTCGTAGCCAGTGGTTCCGTTGATCTGTCCCGCAAAGAACAACCTTTGAACCAAATGCGTCTCGAGGGACGGGCTGATCTGCCGGGGGTCCAGATAGTCATACTGAACACCATAGCCTGGACCAACAACAAGTTCCCACAGTAAGTCAGAGCAGCTGCCCCCGCCTCAAAGAGGAAATACAAAGTGCATCAGACTCCATGAATGTAGAGATGCTGGGCTTCATCTACTAATAGATTGTGACAGGGTCTTGCTATGTAGCCACACTCTGCCTCAAACTTGAAGAAAGCTTCCTGTTTTAGCTTCCCAAGTGATAGGATTACAGAGGTGTGTCACATGTCCAGCTTTGGCCTATTTTATGGAGCACTAAGCAACAACAGAAGCAGACCACCTCACTGCTTGCTGAAGCATGCCTGTGACCCTCTTTACCTGGATGAACCATTTTGGCTTTCTCCAAGCCTCTGATGCATGTTATCATTTTCTCCTGTAACTCAGCGGGTAGGGTAACAGATAACCCTTGGGGGTAGATAAGGTCAGAATCCATTCCTTCCGGTTCCAACCAAACCTGATGTACACGGTTTGGAAAACGTAAAACCTTTGATTCAATAGAGGGACAGTATCTAGAATAAGACATTGAAATTTAAAGTAAATTTGATGACAAAAAAAGTTTACCTCGTTCCTTAAAGTGATTAAGCACTCACTTCTAGTCCTTACCGGGGTCCTCTTGTAGTTTCCTTAACATGGTTATTCAGGTGAAGGTTCCCAAGGACAATCTCATCCACTCTGGGGTTGGTGTGAGTCAAGTAACACGGCAGCTGATCTTCTGGCTAGAAAACAGTAATCACAGACTGGAGAGGTGGCTCAGAGGTTAAGAGCACTGGCTGC